GCCCCCCCGCCCCCCCCCCCCCGGAGCCGGATCCGGCCTGCAAGGCTCAGGATTCTCCCCAGTAGCAGGGAAGGGAGCCCGACCAGTAATGGTCCGTGGACCACACTTTGTGCTATGCCCATGGCAAGGAGCTGATGATGGGAATTAAACGCAGGTGGGCAAAGGCAGAGCCAGTGGCAAGGGGTGTTGGTCCTGTGACATTCTGTGGTTTGGCTGAGGCTGGCCCTCTAAGCCAATCAGAAGGCCCCCTCGTTTGGAAAAGGACTGCTCAATGCAAGGATGTGTTGCGATTTGCCTTGTCCCCCTTGCGAGGAGATGGGGGGAGCTGTGTGCTGAGGGTTTACCAGGTGACGGATACAGAAGCAGCAGCTGGCTGTCCAGGAGAGGCACCCACTGGTGTTCACATCGCTAGTAAACACCCGCCCACCCCAGTGACACCAGGTCCCTGGGGTGCCCTTGTGGTCACATGGCTGCAGCTGGGATGAGCCGTCTTGGGGAAGCTGGACAAACCCCATGTGTGAGCGAGCCCCGAAGGGGAAGTGGTCGGGGTGGGCATGGGGCTGCCAGCAGTGGGGTCTGACTGGACCCCAGGGGGTCCCTCATAGGTCCAGAATGAGCCTCGTGCTCTTACCAGGAGCTCGACACCCGACAAGACCTGTTGTTGTTATCACGTCATTCTTTGCAGGTCCCTGAGTGCTCCCCCCGGCTCAGCGGGGGGCCGTGGCAGCCCCAGACAGACCAATCTCCGTCTCATCACCCCCCTCCTCCCGTCAGTGCTACAAAACACAGGGCTTCCTCACAGGGCAAATAACTAGAAATTCACAGCTTTTTGTTTTGTTTTTTTCCTAATGGGCAGGAGCTTCCTGGTGCCTCCATTGCTGCAGCATTTATTTAGTCCTAAAAATATCCCCAGCTTTTGTTAGCTGGGTTCATGCTGGGGGCTAATCGGAGGCTTGCTGGAGAATGGGCGGGTTCCTGTGACCTTTAGAAGGGCTGCTCAGAAAGCTGCCAGCTTGACTCCATGGAGACAGGGGGATGCCCGTGTGCTGTCTGAGCGCCTGGGGGGCCAGGCAGGGTCAGGGCTCTGTGCCGGGTCCGGTGAAGGGAAAATGGGGTGTGGAGATGGGATGATAAGAGACCGGCCCTGCATATCCGAAGCCAGCGCTGTAGCCGTGCCGCACACCTCCCGTGTCCGGCCTCCCCGCTAGTGCACGTCTGCACAGAGAACATGGCAGGTGCCCTTGTCCTGGTCAGAGGGCCAGTAAACTCTGGAAACCCGGCAGAGACCGGGGCCTGGAGGAGCTAAATAAGAACAGCGATGGGGATACACACCTGAGGAGTGTGAACACCGCTGGGGGAAAGGCTGTTGTGGGAGAGCTGTGTGGGTCACGGATTGTCCTTGTGTGTTTGCTGCACACGCTGTGACCTCACCTGGATCTGCTCTCTGGCATTGCGGCAGCAGCAGAAGGGTGAGCAGGGAGTTTCGACTTGTCGCTAGGGATGTTAAATATCGGTTAATTGAATAGTCAAGTAACCTCATTAATTCTTATCGGTTACTCGACTATTCTATAGTCCCCGGGGGCGGCAGCCAGTGCGCTCTGGCCTCAGTCCCGAGGAGCCCTCTGCTGCTCCGTGCTGCTGCCTCTGAATCCGAGGCAGCAGTACAGGGTGCCAGGCAGAGAGCTGGCCCGTGAGGGGGAGCCAGTTTTAAAACCAGCTCCCCTCACGAACCATCTGCCTGTTGCCCCGGGCTGCTGCCTCTGATACAGAAGCAGCAGCCCCTGTCCAGAGGAGGTGGGGGCTGAGCTCCCAGACCTGACGAGAGCTGGAACTGAGCCAGGCTGCCTGCCTGCCTGGCTCCTAATATGCTTTAAACGCAGAGCCCCAGTGGGATAGGTCCTGGACCCAGCGTGAGCCAGGACTGAGCCAGGCTGCTAAAAAATGTACTGGGTAGGGAAATGCATGTAGTCGATAGCGTTAACGTATAAGCTTTTGCTTATCGGTTAATCAACTACACTATTACATCCCTACTGGACACCGAGTCTTCCTGCATGGGAGCTGGGCCAGGCCCGGCAGTCACGTCTCCAGGGAAGTCAGGGAGCTCTGTCACTTGGGATACAGGACACAAAGCAGCCAGAGGAGTGGAGAACTAGCAGGAGGGATGGATGGGCCGTAACGGGGGTCTTCTGCCTTTTGAATTTGCTAACCTCAGGAAAACCTCAGCAGCGGGGGGGCCCAACCGACCTTGTGGAGCACGCTTATTAAAAGGCTAAATGTACTTCAGCTATGGGGGTGCTGCTGGCTGCTGCCCATTTGCCCTGGTCCCTGCCACAGCGCGTCTGGTCACCAGGGCAAGCATTTCCGGGGGTTATAGGCCAACTCCAGCTCCTGAGACCACGTGGATCCTGTCAGCGTTGTTCAAATACACATGTGGCAATTGGCTTAAGGCCAATTTTGTGAAACGTGTGTGAGCTCAGCATAGACCCACGGACACCTCTTGAAAGCCAGTTCGCTCCCTTTAGCTTGTGCCGGGAAACATGGATGCGAGTTCAAGAAAGGGTCCTAGTTGCTGGGTAGCCGCCTCCTTCCACACATACGCACCCGCCGCCCTTTGTGGTGGGATCTCGCGTTACCGTGTGTGTTGTAAGTCCCAGACCGCAGGGTGATTTTGCACTGAGCCTCTCTTGCTTTTGCAGTTTAGGGATCCTGTGCTCTGAATCCAAGGAACATCCAAGTAAAGGGGCTTGATTGCCTAGTGGGTGGAGTTAGTTTTACCGGAGTGATTAGCCTGGAGGGATGGTGGGAGTATGCCAGGAAGGCCCCAGATCTGGAACATTTGGCCTTGAGCTAACAGACCATCTTTCTTCCCCTTTCCAGGCTCTGGGAGGAGAGAAGTGGCAGTCCACACCATGCTTGGCTGGCAACCCGCTGCCCCCTCGCCCTGCGGACCCTGAAACGCCGGCCCCCTCCTAGGACTGCGGAGCCCTGAGCTGCCCCCTTTTTTGGCGCATGCCCGGACAGGAGTGCTGGATTATGTTCGTCGCCTTCTCCCTCTGCTCCATCATTTGGCTGAATCGTGGCTTTAAGTTACGGAAAAGGGGCTGCCCTTCGGCGCGCGGGAGCGTGAGCGTGCACGGGGCCGTCCTTAGCCGTTGAACGCACACAGCATGGTGCAGGGGGAGAGCAGCGCCTGAGCCCAGCTGTCCCCTCCCCCTCACTGGTCCCGAGCAGCTGGCCCCGGCTCCAGCGGCCCCGTGCGGCAGAGAAGATGGGCAGCACCGAGGGCTTCCAGTACCGCGCGCTCTACCCGTACCGCAAAGAGCGTGAGGAGGACATTGACCTGCTGCCCGGGGATATCCTGGTGGTGAGCAAAGGGACCCTGCAGACCCTGGGCTTCAAGGAGGGAGACGAGCAGACGCCCCACCAGATCGGGTGGATCCTGGGCACCAATGAACGGACCAGGCAGAAAGGGGATTTCCCCGGCACCTATGTGGAATACGTTGGGCCCGTGAAAATCAACCTCCCTTCCCACAGACCCAGGGTGCAGAGACCCTTGCCGGCTACTCCGGGGGTCAGTACATCCCGCATGCGGGAGGCGCCGGAGCAAGGTAAGCCTTTCCCCGGGGCGGGGGAGGGCTATAAGGAAGTACGGCTTCTCTCCCTCCGCCTGGCCCTGGGAAGCAGCGGGGTGGAGAATGGAACTCCCTGGTGGGGCTCCCAAGT